TGTGTGTGTGTGTGTGTGTGTGTGTGTGTGTGTGTGTGTGTGTGTGTTTTGTGTGTAGTGTGTGTGTATGAGTGTGTGCGTGTGTAGGTGGGTGTGCAGGTGTGGGTGTGAGAGTATATGAGCATGTATGTGAGTGTGTTTGTGGTGTGTGTGTGTTTGCAAAGAAGACTGGGATGCAGTCTCCACCTGAGATTCCATCCCTGGAACAGAGCTTGTGGCAAACACAAAGGAGAGGAGAGGAGAGTGGACCGCACAACTGTCGTCTGTCGGGCATCTACGTCCAGTTCAAAATCTGTCTCACATCTGATCTGACTTAACTCTATACTTGGACCGTAAATATTGCCTTCATTTTTATTTTTAAAGTATAATGTGTCTTTTAAATCTTCAAAAGCTTAAGTTTTGTTTTCATTTGCTCAACATGGCTTCTTAGACGTGGTTTTACCCATTAGCCTGAGCATACATAAGACTCCCAGATCTGCCCCTCAGCCCTAGGGCCTCCTTGAGCACAACAGTTCAACTGAACAGGGTCTAGACCCATCTCTTGAGCCTCACTGTCATTATTTTATTCCATTGGATGGAACCCAGTAGCATACTCACAGATTTTTTTTTATAATCTAATGAAATGTATAGGCTTTTGTGCTCTCCCAAGTATCAACAATTTCAGAGTTGTTAAGGGGCAGACTTAAATACAGTCTGGATACAGTCTTTGTATGAGACTAAATTTTAGAGGCAATATAAAAAAGGATATCATCTCATCTGACAGATTCCTATCTGATGAAGGGACATGAAGGTGCAGGTTAAACCACTGGCTTTTATTTTGGAGCTGTTAGTATTTTGGAACACAACCTGCTCCTGTGAAGTCATCATGTGTCGCCAGCCAGCCAGGTGACCACATCTGGAAGGCAAAGGTGTGGTTATCGTGCCCCTTAAAAGGGCCGATACCGACATGTGGTCTCTCTCTTATTTTCTCTCTCTTACACTCTCTCTCTTACACTTACACTCTTTCTTTCTCTCTCTTACACTCTTATACTCTTACTTTCTCTTTTTCTCTCTCTTACTCTCTCTCTCTCTCTCTCTCTCTCTCTCAGGGTACTCCCTTCCCCTTCCCTTTTTTCTCTCTCTCTCCCCATTTTTGCTCCCCTTTCCCTCCTAATAAATCTCTCGCAGAGAATATTGGTTGCCTCCTGATTCTTTTTAATTTTTAACAGAAACTGCCAATAAACCATCTCTCCAGACCTTGTCAATGTATCATTTTATAACACTGCTACCTTAATTACAAAGAAAATTTTCATGAAGTAATTTAAGAAAAATACTTTTATCTTAATAAGAGAAAACAAAATAATTGGAAATGTTTTATTTATTTATTTTGCCTACCATGAATACATCCTAATTGTTGGCTATTCACACTGACTTAAGATGCTCCCTTTGTATACTTTGCAAACTTTGTAATCCCTCAAGACAGGAAAGAAGCCAGGTACCTGCCTGAGGAGATCCAGCAGCCAGACCTTTCTCCAAGACCTCCCTAACTGTCAGAACAGTGTTTCCACCTTCTGTAATTGCCACAAAGGTCATCTCCAGCCCCTCAATAGGACCCCTCTCAGATTGTGCTAAATTTAGATGAAGAGTCTGAACAAGATCCCACCAATCCCTAACAGGAAAGCCCACCAATATCTGAGCTCCCCAAAGCTCGGGACTTGAAATCCCACCAATCCCCACCCTGAAAACCTCTGCCTGGAAAGCTCCACCCCCTAAGAAATCCTACATAAAAGCCGTGTCCACTCAGGTCCTTGCTGTTTTCTCCCAGAAGCAGAGGCAGCTGCTGCTGGATTCATCCCTCCATACCCTGGACCCTCCCAATAAATCTGTCTTATGAGATTTGCTGCCTGCTGTGACTCTCCCATTGGAAGACGCCAGGAAGCAATGAAGAGAAGCAACAAAGAAGTGGAGCAGGGCTGACGCTCCTGGGTGCCTCAGCTCATCTGGGGATGTCCTCCCCTGGGCTGAGGAGGCTTCCTCTCAGAGCTGTGTGGTTCCTGGGTTCCTGGGTCCCAGGACACCCTTCCATCCGAGCAGGAAGGCCAACAGTAATAATCAAAGGCAGTGAAATAACTAAGCACACAATTCTTCTGGGAATTACTATCTTTATTACAAAACAAATACTTTCTCATGAGGTAACACTTAAATGTTGCTTGAAAAAAAAAACCACCAATAACAACAACAACAAAAAATAAACAGTCCCATTTACAGAATTTTGCTATGTGCAAAACATGTAAAGGACTCAGGGAATGGTTTTTGCCCTGAAGACAGATAATCTGGAAAAAATAAAGCTATACATCACTGTTTTAAAATTATTTATTCTCCCCTCCCAACCAAATTATCCACGTCAGCGTCAGAGAGTCAGTGAGGCCGTATTAACAAAAGCACGAAATGGGTAAATTAATTGGAAACGCCATTTATCTTGGATTGTGCCATAGTTTGAGAATGCTTTTTACACAGTAAATATTTGACTGTGTAAGAGTGAATACTGTTTATCTCAAGAATAGGTAGAATTACATTGTCTTCAACCCTCCAACTCCAGGCTTTGCTACCCGAACCTCTAATTCTCCAGAGCCAAGTTGGTAGCTCCCTGCCTTGCTCCCCTACATCTGTCCACACCCTAGTTGTCACCCGGGCTCCCATCATTTGAATCCCCCCCCCCCCCCCGGTTTAGATTTGCAAGTCTCAAGCTCCAAGGGAGCAAGCTCAGCCTAAGGTGCCCCCAGGCCAGCTGTGCCTCCTCCTTAACAGAACCTCGGAGCTGCTGAGTTAGTGAGCAGGGGCCTATTTCATGTGTGAAGCTGCTGTGCACGATTCCCCCGTCCCCCTCACTGCGTGTGCCCTGACACCATTCCACAGACTTAAACCGTCCAGGGAGTGGGGAAACCCTCAAAAACAGTGTCCTGCCCAGCAGCCCCTCACAGAAAGAAAAGGCCCGGGTTTTACTTCTGGCCAAAGCATCAATAAATTACAGTTGTGGTGAACCCCCTGCCCCTGAGGCCCCCCCCCCCCCGTGAGAGCCGTCCTTAGACACCCCAGCGCTAGTAGCCATCTTGGCAATCGTTGTCGTCCTGGTCCCCCACGGGCTTGTTGTGGTAAGCGTCAACTGTCAGTTTCCTGGTGTCGGTGTCCATGTTCTTGGGACCGCCGTCCTCCTCGCTGCTGGAGGTGCTCTCCGCAGAGCTGCTCTCCTCCCTGGACGGGCTGCTGTCCTGGCTGTCACTGTCGCCCTGCTCCTCGGAGCTGCTGTCCTGCTCCGACTGGCTCTCCTGGCTCTGGGACTGGAGGCTCTCCTCTGACAGGCCCAGGCTCTCGCTGGACTCGCTGTCCGCCTGCTCCTCCTCGGTGGACTGGCTCTCCGAGCTGGACAGTGTGTCCGGGCCGTCCTCCTCCTCGCTGGACGAGCTGTCCCCTCCTGCCTGGCTCGTGTTGTCCGGATTGTCCCCCCGGGACTCTCCTGCTGCCCCTTCCTGAGACTCGCTGCTGCTCTCCTGGGACTCGCTGCTGGGGCCTTGTCCCTCATCCTCCTGGGACTGGCTCTCCGCTGTGTCCTCCTGGGACTGGGTCTCTGCTGTGTCCTCCTGGGACTGGCTCTCCGCTGTGTCCTCCTGGGACTGGGTCTCTGCTGTGTCCTCCTGGGACTGGGTCTCTGCTGTGTCCTCCTGGGACTGGGTCTCTTCTGTGTCCTCCTGGGACTGAGTCTCTGCTGTGTCCTCCTGGGACTGACTCCTGCTCTCCTTCTGGTCCTCTGCGGAGTCACTCTGGGTCTCCGTGCTGTCGCTGGCCGCGAGCTCACCCCCGTGGTCCTCCTCGGAGACCCCGGACCTTCGGAAGGACTCCCTGCTCGGGAATTCCACAGACTGGCTGTCCTCAGAGCCCAGGGTGCTCGCGGGCCCGCCGTCCCCCGGAGATGCTCCCGACCTGAGCCCTGCGCTGCTCATTCTGGGGCGGCCCCGCTCGCTCGCGAAGACTTCGGGATCGTCGCTCAGCATCCCCTCGTCGTCAAACTCCGAGCCGTCCCCGTGGCTGCTGTCCCCCTCGCTGCCCCCTCCGACCCGCCGTTCCTCGCTCCCGCTGTCCCCTTCCTCCGCGGCGCCCTGCTCGCTGCTGTCACTGCTGCGCGAATCTGGAGAGATGCCGTCTCCACCGGACTGCGTGCTGTCGGCAGACTCCTCATCATCACCATCCAGTCCCGAGGGCCCTCCCCTCGCTCCTCCTTCAGGACCCGGGCCGTCTTCCCCGTCACCAAAGGTGTCGTCGCCGCTGTCGTCTTCGTCGTCCTCCTTGTCAGCGTCCGTCCCCGCGCCCAGGGAGGAACCACCGGCCGCTCTGTACTGGCCTCCGTCGGGGCCCAGGTCCGCTGACTCGGAGCTGTCGGAGTGCTGCTCATCATTGGCCTGAAGTCAAAGGAAACAGCGAGGGTCAGCGTCGGGGAGGATGAGGAGGGAGCTATCTAGAGACAGTACCAGCTCTTTCTGCTTTTCCTCCCCATGTCCCTGCATCTCTCAGAACTTCAATGAGAAGGACACGCAGACTAAACTGAAACGTAATCTTTCTTCCGTTCGATTCATCCATTCATCCATTCATTCATTTATTTGAGACAGTGTTTTTATCCTGTAGCCTGTGCCGACCTTGAACTCACTACATAGCCCAGGCTGGGCTTGAACTTACAGTGAGATCCTCTTGCCTCTGCCGCTTGAGTGCTGAATGACAGGCATGAGCCATCATTCCTAGCTGCTTGCTGTTTTATATGGCATATTTCCCGATGCTGAGACCCTACCCTGCCTTGTTAAGCGTCCATCAAATCCATCTCAAGCAGCACTTGCTGCCTTCCCGTGGGAAACTGGACACTGAGTCAGTAAATCACAAATCCTCCCCTAAAGACTCGTTTTCCCACATGCTATGATTTTACACTTCTCTAATACTCTCTAATATGGTGACTATTTAGTAAACCGGAGCAAAAAGGCTAATGACTCAGCTCCCCCGTGTGGCCCTGATAGGCACAACGTGGCTCCGCACTTCAGAAAGGACCCATTCCTGCATTTGCTGGGATCCCCACAGGACTGTTAGGTCATTATGGTTGCACAGAGCTAGGGAGGTCACTCTGTGGAGCAAGTGTGAGACTCTGGCTTTGATCCCCAATACACAACACAATACACACACACACACACACACACACACACACACACACAAAGATACTTCTAAATTGAAGATATTAGCTTTCTGTCTTTCTTACCCCCAGGACTGCCTTAAAGGAACAGACACCCCTATGCAGCTGGTTTTAGCTAGTTTCACTACTTAACCAACATGGTCAGTGTGTGTGTGTGTTAATCGTTTTTCTCTTCTTGTTTGTCTTTTTTTTTTTTAAGTAGGAGGAACACTTGGGGACACAATGTCTCAGATGATAAAAATGGAATGAACAGCATGTCCACATTTGAATTTTCTTGTCTCATTTTTCCCTTTTTATTTTATGGGACTGTTTATCCTGCATAACCAATGGTTAGAAAATATTATATTTAGAACTGTAGCCAGGTAATTTAATCTCCCATCATTTCCCTTCAATTCCTAAGCAGCCAGAGAAGCTGAGGAAGTGTGTTTAATTACCTGTTCCTCTGAGCTAACTTTACTTTCTTCTGATGACTCACTGTTCTGAAAGGGAAAAGAAAAATGTTTATTTTCCTTTTTGTAAATCCCAAAGAAAAATATGATAGATATCACTTGCTCGACATTTATATTCAGTACTTTCAGAATGGGGAAAGGAGAACAGCAAAGTCACTTCATGAGACATTCAAGATGAAAACAAATGAAATGGTTACCGTGGGGGGTGGTGGTGACTGAGCCAAATTGCCCTGTGTAGAAGGAAGAAAAGTGAGTTATTTCTTCAAAGTTAGGCTATGTTGCTGAAAAAAACGTAGAATAATTTCAGGTGATTTTTAAATGCGAGGGGTAAGTATCATAATCCGATATCATGATAAAATGTCTAAAATCTAAGGTGAAGTAAGTGATAACCTGAAATGTGCTGAAGTAGACATAAAAGATTACTATATTTCTTACACTTTGCCTGAATTTAACATGTCTGCTCTAAAGTTGGCGGCTCCTACAACCAAAGGAAGATGTGATGCCGGACAACACTGGGACTCAGAATCTGGAGCCAAGTATCAGTTAACCCACTGCTTTGGGTTTTCCTTTAAAACATCCGTCTTGTGTTAGCATGGACAGCCATATGCCCAGGAAATGCTTAAGGCTCAGCAGTCTGGAATGGCTGATCAATGGAAGGGTGGCCAACTCACTTATTCATACATTAAGAAAATCACCAGGCACTGCTGTGAGAATGGATTCAGCCAATGGCATGGGAACCTCTTTGGTACTGTTCAGTGTGATATAAATTAAAGAAATAATCCATGTTGAGTGTTTCCACCTCACAAAATTCAAGAATCGACAAGACCGAATCGAGAAAGGAATGAAACTTCTGGTGGAGTCAGCAGAGGAGCCGACATCAAAGGCGAATGTTAAATAGAACTGCGACAGTCACAGCTGTGACTTCTTTCACCTTCCGGAGTCTCATCATCTGCAAAGCTGTGAGCATTGGCTCATAATCGCTGAGCAAAGGCTGCCCCATCCCCCTTCTCCACCAGCTCTGCTCTTCTCCTTCACCTTAAACACGGAAGGAAGAGTCCTATGAGATGTGCCCAGGGCACTAAATAGAAGAGGACAGAGCTGTGCTGGCATGTACTCCATCACCCTCTCAAGGTGCTTCTCTGGAGTAACTCGGAGAAAAAAGCTGCAACTGTTTGTCTCTGCTCCAAGACCCAGCAAGCAAGCGCAACGACAAACTACTCCAGTCTGCTGTCCTTGGGATTAACAGCCAGAGGGGAGAAAACATTGGTGTTTTTTGTATGACTTGATATTTGACTTGAGAGCAGGGTGTGTCTCTAAGCCTCTATTTAAATGAGAGAGAAAATCTGCAGTGGATGCGCTTAAATTAGCCAGCCAAAAGACAAGAGTTCATAATTTACCCTGCACTGCCGATTCTCACCTGGGGCAGGGGCTGGACCCAACTCCAGGCTTCTGACTTAGTTTGGTAAGTTCCAAGGGCACTGGGCCCACTCTGTGTCATATGAAAAAGCCACCAGTGAACAAAGTGCTCACACTTAGCACTTACTTAGCCTTGACTCTGGTGCTCAGGCTTAGCGCTTCCTTAGCCTTGACCTCTGGTACCAGTCTTGAGAACTGCAGGCCTCTTGGCCCTGGCTCCCTTCTGGGAGGGGTCATACTGAGTAAAAATGCAGACCCTTCGGCCACCCTCGTTTAAAGTCAGCCTCTAAAAGTTATTAATTATAAAACCTGGACAGGCTACATTAATCTCCGTGCTTCCATTTCTGTTGATTAGTGGGAATAAAATCTGCCCCGCCCATTGCATTGGTAGGAAGCTGGGAAATAGGACACATACACAATACTTGAGCCTCTGCCTGGCAGCTGGTAGAGAGTGACTGAGAGTCAGCATCCAGCAAACATCACCGTCATGACAAGGAGGCTAGTATCTCTTCATCCTTCTTTCCTCGCCACTTGGTACCCTGTGCCTTGTCTTGTAGCCTGCTCTTGTCTACACAGACTTCAAGTTCCAATCACTCAAGAACTGCTGGGTCACTGTAAGACACCTCCCTGCGCCCATCATTACAAGAAGAAAGCCAGGAGTCTCCTCACCACACTATGCTATGTGGGAACTGATGCATTGGCTTATCTCATCAACTAAAACACCATAGTTCTTCCTACCTAAAGCTTAGGTGTCTAGACCCCGGTCACATTCACCGCGGAGTCATTGGATCATACAAATCACATATTAAAATTAAAATATTTCAGGATGTCTTATTTCTACCCACCATCCACTCTTCGGAGCTTTCGGATTCAGTGTTTTGATATCTGGTGACCTAGAAAGCAAAATATACTCCATCAGACCACAGGGAAAGTCTCAAGGCAGCATTTATCAACACTTCCCACACTGGGTGCAGAAACAGCTGCCTTTTAGCCTAGCTTAGAATCACCTGGTAGCCTTGCCAAAACCCAGCTGTCTGGGTCCATTCCTACAAACCTGGGTAGTAGATCTGAGGCAGGAGTCAAGAATGCAGATTTCTAATAAAGTCCTAATTAATGCTGCATCTGCAACTCAGGGATGAGTTCCTCATTGCTATGAGGAAAAAGATTTCAGTCATAGCTGTATGAACGGAAAAGAGTGGACTAAGAAATGACTTGGCTGGTGTATTAAAAAAAAAAAAGCTTCCAATACAAAAGACTACTATAATACACAAAAGACTACCACAGTCATTCCTCACACTATGGGGCAGCTGGATGGTAGTCATTGAAAACGATGCTGTTTTAGGGGTGTAAGAGGTGTACTTACTGGGAGAGCACAGGATAGCCCCCAAAGGAACATGACTAGGATAACCGCCTTCATATTTGGCTGTGATTCCTCCACCTGTAATGAAAATCATAGATGTCTCACTCAATATGGAAAACAGGATGCTTCATTTTCACATTTTTATAAAAAAAAATCATAAATATGTTCATTGATGAATGAATGAATGAATGAATGAATGAATGAATGAATGAATGAATGAAGAATATGTACTGCATCTGCATGAGAGAATAGCGCTTGGCCATAAAATGGAACAAAGCACTGATATGTGCAGAGGTGCCTTGGCAGCCTTATGCAGGCTGAAAAGACACCAGGTCTAAAAGAGCACAGCTGTATGGTTCCATGTATGGAAATTGTCTAGAAGGTGCACATCTTTAGACACAGAAAGCAGGTCTGTAGTTTTCGGGGCTTGGAAAGACGGGGTCATGGGAAGGGATGGTGGGAGAGCTTTTGTAGTTGGTGAAAATATCCTTCAAGAGATTATGGCAAATGCCGTTCACACTTGTGTAGTGAGCGTGTGCACGTGTCTTCAGTCATCTTCATAATTAGGTAATAAAGTCAGACAGAAATAACCTGTTCTCATGCTGTCTTGGCCTTCGAGCCTCGCACTGTGGCACACTTTGCATTGCGGCCTCAGGAAGCTCTGAAGGCCTGCTGATGCTGAGTTCACCCAGGTGCCTTTCACAGCACCGAGGGACCCCCCAGATGACTAGCGGTTTGGGGTACACTTGTGACTCACACCAAGAGAAACAGGCCAAATCACAAACTTTGTGATCCAGTGGCTTCAAGAATAATTTGTTCTTTATGTCACCATAGGCCTACTCAATGGTGATGTAAATCGTTATCAAAACAGTCTGAAGGGAAACAGTTTTCCTGCCGTGCTGAGCCCTCACAGCTGCCCTGACAGACGTACTTGATTGACGTGCACGTGTTTTAAAAAATTCTGCAAGTTCATTTCAAGCCACGTGTTCATTAGTTTCTTTCTTTACATATGAATGCATGCTATATAGTGAAAAGACATTAAAGCCGTAGATTTATAACCCTTGCCATCTATTGGTATCACCTGGGAAATTAAAAAAAAAAAAAGTTCTTCACTGTAATTTAACATACTGCATAGTTTTCATATTATATAAATTTATTTACATTCTTTACCTAATATCAACTGAAAAGAACATATAATAAAATGTTCATCTGTACCTAAAATAAGTCTAATCCAAGAGATGTTGCTTCTTATAACCAATACATTTTTAAGTTCTTAGATTCATTCTTTTTATAAAGTAAACCAACTTCCCAAATGCAATTTTCCCAAAATAGCCACGTGTCAACAGCTTTGGTTGCAGAGGCAAAAGGGGAGTTATGCAAATTTCCTGCATTTCACAATTTCCTGATTTTACAATTTGAATAGACTTATAACTTCATAACTGAAATATCCCAGAAAATACCAGTGACTACTGAGTTTTCTTGCATTTAATTTCTCTCTTATCTAATAACTGACAAATGGGAAGATGCAATGTGCAGTTACTCTAAACCAAGTAAGGCTGTAGGTTTTCCGCCAGGAAGGGTGTGGTATGGTTCACGCCCCTCAGGAGTGGAATGGCCTGCAGCCTGAGGAAGACTCCCTAACTTGCTCAGGCTTCTGGTAGCACCATTCACATCCCGACCTAAAACAGTAATTTCCCAAATAGAAGACTGGGGACCAAAACAAGATAACCCAGTGTCACAAGAGAGCTGAGGTTGGCTCCCAGAGACCATAGTTCCATTGCAGAAGGTCAAATCCTATATTGGGTTTTCAATTGGTATTTTTGTTGTGCCGTTGGTGTTTTTGTGAGGTATATTTCCAAGTGAAAATGCCAGACTTTTGTCAACTTCTTAGCTACTTTCTAAGAAAACATGTAAGCAGATGTGAGCTCAGGATCCAGATTACAAGGTTAACAAGGTAGCCGCAGGCCTGCAGAGCATGAGTCCAGGGCCATAGCTCTCCTTCAGTGGCTGGCTACAGGCACTCGTTACATGGGTGTAAGGGCAGCCAAGGGATGGAACTCAGCAACCATGACTTAAACTGCATCTGTTCGAAAGCCACTGTCCTAGAGACTCAGCAGTTCTGAATTGTTAGCCTGGAGTTGAAAAGATCGAGTCAGGCTCTGGAAAGGGACTGTGTTTCCATGTGTGTTCAAAGCTCTATGTTAAGTAAAGTAACTTGTTTTTAGAAATGGTCCAAAGGAAGGAACTCACAGAATGAAAAGTCTACAGGATATTTTTTAAACCCTTGGGAAACAACAGCTTTATTTGCTTCTTATTGTTAACCTTGATAATACTAATGAACTATTTATTGATTTGTTTATTTATTTATTTATTTGTCATTAATAAACACTTGTTGAGAACAGCCCATATGCCAGGCACCATTCTAGGTGCTGAGATATAATACTTGTACTAGAAAAGCCATAGGTGTCATTAAGTGCTATTAATACAAGCAACTAATCAGCACCACCTTAATTTCTCCATCATTCCTCTTTGAAAATAGAGTGGAATTCTAAACTCTATTAGAATTCAAGGAACTAAATGAACAAATAAAAACTTCCGATCTTTGCAGTAACTGTGCTTGTCTCTGGGACAATTGCTATCAACCTGATATTATACACCTTCATCCACAGTAGGATAACCACAAAGTGCCCCAAATACAGGTTATAAACACCCCTAAACATCAGAGGCACCCTGAGCTGCGTCACCGTTTGGTGAACAGTAGCCAGAGTAAATGACCGTCAGAAAATTTGTTCACGTGTTTGATATCAACAAGGGCAAGGGAGGACAGTCCGAAAGAGTGTCGGTTACTCAGAAACACGAGCTGGTCGTTGCTCTGGAAGAAGGCAGCTCGCTCACTCCAGGCAGCCTCTTCTGGATGTCATAAGAAATGTGCGGCCTGACCACGCTCTGTGGTGGAGGACAGCCACGCCAGCTACTGATGAAATGAAGTCAATGAAGGGAGTGAAGTCGTGTCTGATGGGATTATATGTATATGCATGTACATACACACTCATGTACATGTGTGTATAGATTATTGCGGTGTATCTGCGTGCAAAGCCTTATGCTAACGTGAATGTCCAACCACCCCAGTGCACACTGCAATCATCACGTGCTCGGCTCACCCCACTGATCTTGGCATCATCTTTCAGCTGCATACACAATTCATCGTGGCCTCTGTTGTTCTCTAAGTAAACAAGGCCGGGGGAGGGGGGGCGTTTCATTTACCTGCCACCCTAGTTTAGAGCCTTCCCTGTTTCCGTGTCTAAGAGAGCTACATGTCAAAGCTTTGTTTAATTAATTAACGCTGAACTCCAAGGGGACTGTCCCACCAGCCTCCTGTTTGGTAAACATCCTCTTTCAGACACAATTACACAGAGATCTAATTAGAGCATTGCCAGGAAAATACCTGGCCCTTTGACCTAACATGTCATTTTAATGTCATTATCATTTTCTACCGTGACATGGACCACAAAAACAAAAGTAAGGCTCGGTTTTACTCAAAGCTCAGATCTCCCCATCTGCCTCTGGAAACCAATGCCCTGAAATATGTACGCATTTCATAGTTTTCAAAGACCAAAGCAAAAGTTATTTTAGACTTGAAGTGATGAAAATGCCTTACCCTGTCTAGCAAACAAGGTCGAAGCCAGGCTGAAGTTCTCACAGAGGATCTAGCTGCTGTCCAGCTGCTGCTCTGAGCACGCCCTTGCTGGACAGTGCAGAATTTAAACTCTGCTGCAGCTCCCCATGGCCAATCAGCCTCGGGCTGGCCGGACTGACATCACAGGTGTCACCGGGACCCCATACACCCACGCTTCCTCCACTGGGTGCAAGTAGGCTTTCTCTAAAAAGCTCCTGTGGTTCTCAAATGACTAGACTAGTTTCCATTAAATTGAAGATCTTCCGAAAGCTTTATTTTGCTTTCTAAATATATGTCATTCACATCCATGCACGCTTGTGACATTATAAACAATGGCGATGTCTCCTGCCCACTGACAGATCCCGGAAGACCAGGGATGGGAAAAGGAGAGTCAGAGAGGGGAAGAGACTTTTCTGTTGATGTATATTTCCAGGGAGAACATGAAGTAAGCTCCGAGAAGTCTAGATTTTCCTAAGTTGTCAGTGGGGAGAACAGAGGCTCCTAGTTCTTCTCTTCCTCTTCTAACAGTCTCTCCTGCCCACACTTTACCAGTCTATACAGACTCCAAATTCTCACAGACCTAAGGAGGTACCATTCACACAACCCCATGGGAATAGGAAATGTTAAAGTTCCCTCGCTTCAGCAACTTCTATTTTTAACAACAACAATAAAGAATTTAATCCTCCATTATCCCCTGAAAGTACTTAGCATATTTTAGTAATTTTTTGGACTCAGAACTGGATTGGAGGAGTACTAACTCTGTGGATCGCATCCAGAGAACTGTTGCCAAGAGAATCTGCTCCGCCACCAAAAATGAAATGTAGAGAATGAATGCTGGCTGCTAGAATCTTTCTGCAGAGCTCACTGAAGTTGGCTGTGGGCTCTGGAAGTGGGTTTGGCACCTGCTCAGGAGCATACTCAAATAACAATAGCATACCGCTACATAAACACTCAAATGATACAATATGCAGCACGAGGCTTTAATTTCCCTAAGAGTAAGGATGCTTGTTTTGTTAACTGAAGTGTACACAATACCACAATGCCCCAAAGCCAGGGACAGGTCGTGGGTCATCGTAAGTACTCAGTAAATATTTTTTTTTTGAATGAATGGGCGGATGGAGGTATACAATTACCTTGACTGAAATGCTTGGGTGACTCACTCACTTTTTCAGATGCAACAACCTGGAAACCGTTTTCAAATATGTAGATTATTAAACTAACTCAGTGTGAACTTAAACTAGGGTGGGGGGCAGGATATGTGGGGGAGGAGTCTATTTTCACACTGAGTTGGCTAGAAGGCGTGTTCATGGGGAGAAGCTCTAAATGCCACGTGTTCTCTTTTGCTTCTGAATTACATGGCGGCTCCACGGTCCTGCCTGAG